TGAACACGTTTCTTATTTTGAATATATAATTCTAAAGAACAAACTTTTTCATTTATTCTTTTTCTCTAGCCGATAAAACTTTTACCTGTAAATTGAACAGTAATTACCTTGCGGTAAATCTGATTGTTCTAGAGAACAAACAAATGTATTGAAAACAAAAAAAAAAATCATAATTAATAACATACCTTCATCACTACCAACATCGTATGTGATCAGATTAGTTAATGTTTCAAGTACCAATTGAATAAGATCGAAATCAGTTCTATCACCTTGTAAAATATTTGCTAATAAAGTTATACTTTTAGTACCAACTTCAAGTTTGCATTTCTGTTAGTTTTTTCAGATAGAAATATATTTGAGAATTGAAAATCTTTTTTTTACTAACTTTAGAAAGTGCTTTAAGAGCACATACAATATGTCGCCGATCTTTGATACGTTTTGCCGTTTGTAAACGATCACAAAGACTTTCAATCTGTAGATATAAGAAGAATTTGTGAAAGTAGAAAGATGATATTTGATGTTTATCTATTATGATCATTTTTGAAAGAAAACTAGTAAGAACTCTCAGTTTATTGAATGAAATACAATGAGAAATGAATGAAAATCATTATTGTGTCTTACCGTTTCTTGATCGATTGTATTATTATTATTTGTCGTTGTTGATGGTGTTGTAAATGAAAATAGAGAACGACCAAGCGAGAATGCCATTTTATATTACGAATAATATTGAAATAGTTTTACGATTCTTCTTAAATCTAATATCAAAATTTCTATCTAGAATCAAATTATGTATGCATGCGTGTATGTATCGTTATTATTACAAAGTTTTATTTATTTGAATAAAGCAGATTGTTAGTCTGTGTCAACTAATCTCTTCTTGTTGATTCTTTTCTTTGTTCACAATAAACAATATAATAGCATATATGTATAATTACCCATGACATAGGAAAAAAGAGAAAGAAAAGATAAGAAAGAATAAATATAGAGAGAAAGAGGAGAAAAAAAAGATAGTAGATCGAAGATAGCGCCACTCCGTGACATCTCCGCTCTTTACCAATGAATAGCTTTAACTGTTTAAAGATTCTGAATAGGTTATGAATGTTCACCATCTAGCAACAGAAAGTGATTAGCATTATACTTACTGTCTATCTTAACAAATATGTAGAGTTAGTACAATGTTACCAGGGCTGCCAAATTCAAAAGTAAAAAAACCAGTAGTTGACCAGGAGATTTTGCTGAAAACTAGGAGGGAAAACCAGTAGATCTTTATGGAACTGAAGTAACTATTTGACTGACTTGTCTTGAAACAAACTGAAGTTTTCGTTCAGATAACTACAGTAAAACCTCTATAAGATGAACACCATTGGGACCTCCCGAAAAGTGTTCATCATGAGAGGTGTTCATCTTATAGAGGTTTTGCATAGATTGAACTGTTGCATGCATACAATGATCAGTAGGACTATTTCAATGACTACACAATTCATGTGAAGTTCACTGCAGATAAATCAAAGAACGAAACTAAATCTTTCATCTAGTGCATGACTTTTTGTGCAATCTTGTTGAAAATAATCCTCCATCGTCGTCTATTTGGGACCTTTCGTGTCGATGTAGAGTTGAGTGCATTGTAAGACTAGCTGTTCAATTTCTTCTGAAAGGGTCAATGTACACTTCGTCATCATCTCTTCATTGAAAATAAACAAATGCTCTGTTAGGTCACTGGTGAACGATCAATTCATCTGAGAACAGTGTGTCGCGGACTATTGATTTTTTTTGTTCTTTTTCTATGATGAATAGACCGCCGACGAATTGACCTAGCACCTCTTTAGAATGGATATTGTGTTTTGTTTTTCCCTGTTTTGTCACACATACATGCATAAGTTGTTGAACGCGTGTTCATTATATAGAGGTTTCCTTTGCTGAAGGGACCAAAAAAGTGTTCATTGTTCAGAATTGGGAGGTGTTCATTATTTAGAGGTCCATTTACAGCAAAAATTGATCCGGGGGACCGAGACACGTGTTCAAATAGGAGGTGTTCGTTATATAGAGGTGTTCATTAAGAGAAGTTTTACTGTATCTGTTTTTTTCCTACTGCCAAGTTAGTGATGACAAGACTGTCCTCTAAATGATACATAACGAAGAGAAGGAAAGATAATTTAGGCATTTTTCCAAAAATGAACAAGCTAACGAATTCGATAACCATTCTTTTTTAATGTTCACAAATAAAGTTTAGTTACTTTCATACATGATCATGAAGCAGTTTTCGATTTGAATATTTTCTAGTGAAATAGAATCAGTATTTTTACCTGATGTAGTAAAGTTTGTGACAAAAAATTTCCTCCAATAAATCTCAGACTTCAGTGTTCTCATCTTCTTGCAACGTATGTATTTGATAAATATACAGCTGGTACTTCCTTTTTTTCACATTTTCACAAGTCTTTGCCATAGGATTCGTTTATGAAATTGATCATCTTAATTTTGCAGAACTCAAGCAGAAACAACGTGTCTTCTTATCGGTTGTTGTTTCTATGAAATAGTGAGATAGTTGTTTTTGTGTACTCAAAAAGTGAGTACACTATAGAATCGGTCAGTATGTCCGTCTGTCCGGCCGGCCGGCCGTTTACACGATAACTTTTGAAAAGAGAGTCCAATCGCAATGAAATTTTCCACACAGTTCAGTCTTAACAATGTCTCGGTAGAGTTCGAAGATGAGCAGGATCCGTCAAGAAATGGCTGAGTTATCGAAAAAATTGTCATTATTGAGAAGATCATCCCTGAGGGGGGGTACAGGGATTTTTTCAAAAAAAAAATTTTTTTCTCCGAATTATTCACAACATATATAAATCGACTCAGTTTTTAACGCTGATTCCGAATCTGATATTAGTTTTGAACCAAACCGTAGCTTTCTAACAAAACATCCCCTGATAAAGGTCTCAAAATGCAGAAAAACTGCTTGAAGAAAGCAAATTGACTAGATGTGTCTGAGATTATAAAAAAACAAAGTGAATATACCTGTTCACTTTTTGAAGTACACATAACACTCGGATTTAAATCCGATGTTTTCGCATTTATTTTTTGTTTTATTAATTCAAGATGTCACGAAAACTCAGAGTGATGAAACCTTTAAAAACCAGGAGAAACCAGGAGACAATCTAAAAAAACAGCTTCTGGTTCCAGAAGATTTTTTCACCAGGCGAAAAGTCTAAAAATCAGGAGTCTCTTGGCTAAATTATGAGATTTGGCAGCCTTGAATGCTACAGTGATATGTTCAACAAAATCTGCAATCGAAGATGACAATGCCAAGGGAAATCGGAATACAACGCGCCAAATGCAAAGAACCTGCGAGGAACGTTAAAACCTTTTATGAATCGACCAAATTCTTCGGATGGGAAATCAAGATCAATAGAAATCTTGTTGAGCGAGCTTAAACTCAAATCTAAAAAAAGAATAGAAAATGAATGAATTGATTTTCTGCATCTTTTTATTCGCTTCATGAGTTAGTCATTTATCTGACTTTCTTATTCGATTCTTAGATTATTCACGAAAATTCTATCTTTATAGACTAAAGCTGAATATTTAGTTAAAGTAAAAAATTTTGCTAATGATTTATCCGAACGTCTTAAAACGAACTATTTCTTGCTTGCTGAACAACCATTCTATAAACATCAAGCAAATAATAATAATACTCCACTTCTTAACGACCATGATGATAATAGTAATCCAGTAGGAATTCGTCAACGTTGTCAACCTCTAAAAGCATTACTAGAAAGCTTAAAACCAACAATAAAAAATAATAATCAATAAAAATTAACTAAAACTCAGCTTTATGAATTATATAAATATTTGTTAAAATGTTCTTCATTATGAAAAAAAAAATTTAGTAAAAAAAGCACCATTTGTAAATGCAATGACCAAAAATGCTTATATCTGTTCAATATTTAATCACTTGAGTGAAAAAAAAGAATAAAATAGATATTTAAAAAAGTTAAGAAATGCAATAAATTTCTTGATACTAATCCAAATATTATTGAAAATCAAATACTAACATTACATTTACTATGAGGAAATAGTGATGATATACTTTTATATTTTACTTCTTTCCGCTTGCCACCACGTTCACAAATAAATAGATTACTTTTCTATAATCATAAAAAAGAAAAAAATAGGTTCACAACAATATTGGTCAGATTTATTTCAAACAGAAAAAGATAAACATGACCAACGTTTATGTGATTTAAAAAATGAATATTATCAAAAACTTGTAGAATCTGTTGATCATATGCTACCAGCAGATTATATGAGATATGAATTTTTTCATAGTATTAAATATGGAATAAAGATTATGAATTAGCTACAAAAGATCATATTATTGATAAAAATACTGAGCAATTAAATATTATTCAATGTTATATACAAAAAATGGCGATCAATAATGATATTAATCAATTTAATCAAATGAAACAAAGATTGTTTTCGACAGAATAGACAAATGAATAAATAAAACTTGTTATGAAACTCACTCAACTATTGTATAAATATATTGATCGAAAATATAAAGAATAAATTCATTTTCTTTTGCTTTTTAATTTCCAAGCTTTGATTAATTAACAAATAATATCATGAGACAAAGAAATTTCTAGAATGAGAAACAACATCTTATATAATACTTTATCTACAATTAATCATACTTTAGCGAATACTCGTTGTTTTCACATTAAACTACAATAACTTGAACTTTTCTTGTTAAGTTCAATCAAAAGACTTCTTCAATATTGAATGAGATCTCATTCAAAAATCAATGTGCATCTTGAAAAGTCAGAAGTGATTCTTTACTATCTCGTTTTCTTTTGTTTAAGTTATTTGCAGATATATACTCACTTCATCAAAATTCATCTAATGTATTATAGCTATACGCTGTTTAATTAATATTGGTCGTCAGAAGTGAATTAAACTCGAGTTCATCGTCAATCGTTCATCCATTTTGGCTTTAATTTCAAAAAGGTCTCAATAAAGTCCTTTGTAGCTGAATTGATTTTCGCGAAATTTAATCATTTTTATCTTCTTTTCTTTCTTCGATCGTTTTGATGATCAATGAATATTCAACTGGCATTGATTTTGTAATCTGGTGATTTTAGAAATTAAAATTGTCGATGATTGAGTTAAAATTGATAGATACTAGTTGAGAAAATAGCTTTTTAATAATATAATTCAATGTCGCGAACTAGCTAATTTTTCTTATCTCCTTTAAACTTGTATAATACTTTTTATTATCGACTAAAATACACTTGTAAAAGTAAGTATAGTTCATGTTGTACCTCGGGATGATCATGATTAATCAATTATGCTGACAAACAAAAGTCATAAATGTATAAAATGTATACATAACATAAACTGTTATAAAAAACTGAGCTCGAAATGAACCGAAATTTTCGAGTTTGGTTCAGTTTATTTTCGCAAAAAAGGATAGTTCGATTAAAGTAGAAATGTTGAAAATCAATTGAAATTCCGTACTCCATCTATTTATACTCATCTACTTGACTACCCTTCGACAAGTGACTTGCTTTGATGTTATTCAAGGATGGATTATTCTATTTTGATAGACATTTTTTTGCCAGCATATAATAGACTCAAGACGAATCGAAGTTGTAAGATTTGAGTTCAGTTCGTTTTCGAGTTTCGATACGAAGAATAGATTAAAAGAAAGAAAAGAAATAATGGCTTTCTGGTGCAAATACGATCCGTTTATAAATATCTTCGCGATGGATCCGATCGATGATAAAACGATACTGTATTCTTCTCAAACTTATTCATTGTCGACACATTTGGTAGAACGTCGTTTTGACATCGATGAAAATTTTAGAGCAACCTCAAAAGAATGACATGCGAATTCTTAGGCTCACTATGAGTTGCGATTAAAATATATTTGTTCCAATAGAAATCATTATTGGGTTCATGTTCTTTCATCTACTATGACTACCCATATGGAAATTTTTGCTTTTGTAAGACATTTCTAAGTGGCTGAGAAAAGCTTACACTTCAATAAGCTGTTTTAAAGCGCTTATATTTACTTAACGCAAACTGCTGAAAGTCGTAACACTTAAAAATAAGCTGCTTAACGGAGCTTTCCAAATTGTTTTACAAATGCTGCAAAGTGCTTATCGGCAATATCGCTTAAAAGTGCTGTGATTTTTGCTATATTTAAGTCCTCTGTTTACATCACTTACGATAGAAATCGCTGAAAAAAAAACTGCGCTTTTTATTGTGTTTAAGCATTTTGCAGAGCTTAAAATAGAAAGCATTAAAAAATGCTGTGATTTTTTTCATATTTTCAAGCGTTACAATGCGATGTAACGTTTGATATTTCGTAGCAAACATTCATGCGAGAAGTTTGGATGGTTTCCTTAGTAAAATTTCTATTAATAGTTAATAATTATAGATCAATTATTATATGAAAATACTAAATATATAGTGTTCACATTATTTATTCGTACTTGCTTACAATATAATATAGTTACATCAGATTAGGATGATTTTTCTAAATTGAAAAATCGAATGAAAGATGTACAACTGTTGAACTAATGATAAAAAACGCATTCTCAATAATTTTTTTCTACTATGATAATACGTGTATTTGTTCCAGATATAATCATATCAATTTGACTTTCATCTCAGTAGAGCTACATACACATCACCCAGCAGTTTTCAGGTACAATCCGTAGAAAACAAAAATGAGAGGCTTTTAAATAGCATATCATGACCATGTATAGTAAGGGAATTAGTATTGGCGTCCGCCAGAATAAACTGTGATTTTTGAATTTTCTTGCGGCGGCCGCATACTTCGTGACTATACTAGAAAAATAATACGATGCTATACAGGGTTGCCAGATCAAAATCTTAGAAATCGGAATTTTTTTGCTTGAATTCGGAAAAATTGGGAAAAATATCTGGCTAATTCTGAAAAAAATTCGGAAAGTCGTTTTTAAGCTTTCACTGCCTGTAACCAAGATGAAAATTCTCTATCTAATGTCCAATCCTTTTTTAAAAACACCTTTCTTTTCTCTTTTTTTGGAATTTGAAATTGTTGTTGGTTGAATAGATTCTTGTTCTTCTACGCTCACGGTCATACTAATAGACGAATCATCTGATTTATCATCCATAATAACGTTCAGTTTATTCTGAAATATAGTTATGAAAATGTAAAACGACATTTATTTACATTTAGATTAAGGTTTTTAGAGATATGATTTATTTATATGACTTCTTTGAAAACTAAACATTGATTGAAGCTATTCTAACAAATCTTAGACGAGATGAGATTTGAAGAAAAAATTATCATATTAAATCTTCTCTTCTCTCCCTTCTCTTCTTATTTGTAAGAATAAAATCAATTATCCAATGATTATAAGAAAATAAACATAGCGCCATATGAAATCTATCAAAAATTATATGGAAAATTATAATGGAAAGGAAATTTAAAAAAAGTATTACAATTCGGAAAGAATCGGAAAAATTCAAGAATTCGGATAAATTCGGAAAGTCGGAAGGCAGTCGGAAAAACTTAGGAAATTCGGAAAATTCCGACTAATTCGGACGATCTGGCAACCCTGATGCCATAGTACGCAGTCAGATCCCAATGAACTTCGGAATCAATATTAAAATAATGCCTTCATGGCGTTAGTATGATACACTCTCTTCTAAATTGATATTTGGAATTTTTTTTTATCATAAACACAATAATGATACGAGGGTGGTGTTTTCTTGTTTTGTTCTAATGTAAATTTCACGATAAGATCATTATAGGTGTATCTCTGGCAAGCTTTTCTGGGTTCTAAAAGACTTATAAGAAAAGTGAAAGAGACGATTAAGTAGAGGATAGTTTTCTCTATTGCATTAAATGACAACGATACTTTGTCCTGTCAGAATTATATAACGTCTCATCTGATAATAATTTGTTATTCTGCCTATATTTCGGTACTTTGATTGTGTATCATGAACTTCATATTAAATTCAGATGCATCTTCACCTATCAGTTTAACATATCAATGAAACCTTAGAAATGTGTACGGTATGCTGGTCACCGAATGCAAATAATCGAAAAAAGTATCTGGAATTTTCGAAGTAGCTATCATATTTGAATTGAAAAGGCTCTTTGAAAGTATTAATGGGATGGTTCCGGTTCGGATTCAGGTCAGGGCCTAAACAATTTTGATCAACCGGGTCTGGATTCAGAAATTTTGAACTGAACGGTCTCTAATAGCTTGTATCTATCTGCAATGTATAATACATCATGTTGAAAATAACTATCTATCAATTCATATAAGGTAACTTTAATAAGATATTGTCATCATTTTGATTAGTGAACCGAATCTTGTTTTGATTGGCACATTAACTTCGATACACTACGAAAAAGTTAATTGAATATGTGTCAACTTTTAGACGAATCACGTTTCTTACTACACTTAAATTTTTTAGTGAAGACCAGCTCATATCATTAAAATAATCGAAGATAGAATCTGCACACAGTTAAATTCTAGTGACGATTCAAAAGTGGACAAATATAGAGATTGATATAGAAGTTCCAACTTTACTATCATACGATGTACCAAGAACAAAGATAAAATATTATGCATTGTATCCTTTGTATGATCGAGAGAATATCGACAATTGATTCAGACAGATTGACAGAATGAAATATTCGACTCCTGAAAAAATTCACATCACCCACTAATGCATTTCAAGATGAACACTTGCGTATGCTGTAGATAAGGATATTAATTACCACAGCAACATTTCGAATCAAAACT